TTTGTCAGTCATTACAGAAAAAGTCCTACCATGTGTTCAGGGCAATAGAATTGAGATATATGTTGATAAGATATATTAATATAACTCCATTAATAATATTTTGAGACATTTTGAGATAAGATGAATATAGTCTTTGTGCTACAAAAAGTTAAGTCTTCCCTCCTCATTCCATCTCTGTGACCCTCTCCCATGGGACTTTTATTTCTCTCTTTCCTGCCCGCCCCCACCCATACCCTCCTCCCAAGGAAATTTGCTTATTCTAGTAGATGTTTATGAAACAAATGTTGTTCCATCCCCATTTCCCTCCCTTTGGAAGCAGTGGAGATGAGAAGGGTAGGCAATCCTGGGCCTAGTTAGAATATAATATTTAAAGAAAGAGACAGGAAAATACATCCATTATAATCTTTTTTTTTCTTTTTTGAATTGAAGCTTATGACTTTATCTATGCCCACTATATTCATAATTACAATTTAATATCTGCATACAAAAGCTATGTAAAAATCCATTTTTCCCAAATATACAAATTTTCTTTTTGGATAGTTTAAAACATTTTGATCACAGATTTCAACAGTTTTAGGCTGAAAAAAAAATATTACCAATCTAGCAATATCGCTTAACACTGTTTGCAACACACAGATCTTCTGATGACCATCAATCTCTTCCTATTCTGTAGCATTTTTCTGATTCTCAGGGCATGAAAAAAACATGATGGTGGGGGGAAGTGTTTTCTCTGAAAAAAGCATAGAGATCCAATTTGGCTCTCTAGCTGAATGAAAAAGTGAAGTTAATGGGGAAAACCCACAGAAAAATGGGGCAATGTCAGCCTATTCACGCCCTGAAATCTTCTGTTCCGACAGTACGTGTGTAATGAAATAGTCTTCCTTTGTCTTACATTGTGCTCCATAATTTTCTTGAGAATCATCTGAATCCTGAGGAGGACAGATCTATGTTTGATTGTCTTGTGCATAAGGTGGGTCAGTTCGAACTCTGTGCAACAGAAAGCCACAAACAGCGTTTTACCTGCACGATATTGCTTTTGAAGGCGTCATTCATGAATGTGGACACCACTGGAAATTCACACTTTCTGCATTTGAAAACATTTATACAGCACAGTAAAAATTCTGTGATAAGGCCAACCTTTTTCCCCCCTAGTCTTTTTTTTTTCCCCCGCATATTTTTAATGTATATTTTTTTAAGATTAAAGTAAAACGTTTCAATTGTAAAAAATACACACCGGGCAAATCCTTACCTGGATAATAAATATCTACATCACAGTACAATAAAATTTCTTCTCTATAAAATTTAAATATGGATTATAGTCTATCACTATCAAAAGAAACACTATGCTACTTCTTTCCATATTATTAAAATAACAGGAAAAATTACGAGCTTATTTGAGAACCTGATGCCATAGCCTCTGGAAAGGGCAGAGATTCAAATGTCCGTGAGCGCTCTTCCTTTTTGAAGAGGAGCTGCGGCTTGGTGACTCACTTAAAATTCAGTTGATGAAAAAGGTTTAGCCTTACAAATGCTGGCTACGTTTCAAAGACCATCAGACGGATTTCATAATTTATGACTCATGCAGCAAAAGGTCAACATGACACGGATAGGTTAGAGTTCCACAGAAGAAGAATGTATCACCGACGATGACATGCCTGGAGGACGCTCAGCAGTTCCGTGGAGGCTGAGTCTGGGGGGTCGGGGAGGGGGCTTAGTGTTGAGGAGGGGCCAAGGCCTACACACCTGTTCAGGGAAGAGCCAGAGCAGAGCCACGCCTGGTGGTCCACCCTGATGACAGAGCTGCAGACCGAAGAGGTGTCCCTGGGACCCAGGTGAGGGACACGGCGCTGGGCTGAGGCATCAACACGGCAAAGCGCATCATTGAAGACAGAGGCTCATTTGACTAGAAAAAGCTCTGAGGTGGCACATGGTGTGTTGAGCAGAATCGTAAAGAGGAAAAGATCTTACTTTTCTATTTCTGAAAATACTGCACATCTAAGTTGAAGAGCAAAGTACACTTGAAGGTAACACACACACACACACACACACACACACACACACACACACGTACACACACACCTCACTCATCCCCAAAAGTTAAGTGATTTATAAATAAGAATCCCAGTTGTACGGTGGTCGCCCCTACTGGGATGTCTCCCCACTGTGAGGGGTTTCTTGATCAGGTCCACACTTGATTTGACAGTCTGGACTGTATAAAAAAGTGTTTTAAAAAAATCCAGAGAAAATCCCTCTTAAGTGAGTTTTATGAGATGGAGTCTTGAGATGCACTAGTTCCTAAATTAGTTACAGAAAAAACGAGCCACTTTGACCAGTAGGGTCATGATCCTTTGAGTTCTCCTAACTTTTCCTTTCTACCTGAAGTGCATTAAGGCTTGTCCTCCTTAGCATAAACAAGGGTACTAGATCAGTGGTTTGCCTGTTTAAGGCAATCATTTAAGAGGCTGAGGACCAAATGTAAATTTACTTGGGGCTATATGGATTACTGTAGATATACTGTATGATTTGGCCAATGTCCAATCATGGTTTATCCACAAAGCATTCCAGTTTTGATTGGGGTCAGGCTCTGTACTTATATTTGAATCTGGGTGTATCTAATATGTGGGGGAATCTCTGTCAAACAGATTGAGGAAGGTTGATGCCCAAGGAGTCTGTGAACCTTCCTATACCCCACCTGCTTGCCTCTCTCTCACTGCCTTCTCAGGGAAATCTGCCCCATCCACAAAGCACAGAGTTAACCCTGGAGCTAGAAGGTGACTAAGGGGTTATGTTTCAGAGTCAACAGAGGGAGCTGAGATGTTAATAAAGCAAAGACTTAAGGAGACTGGCTAGAGGCTGCCCAGAGAGGACAAAACCTTACTTTCTGTAGATAGAGTCAAAGCAGGTAGTCTGCCCATGACCTTCATGTTTACACTTTCATTCTCTTCACCTCCTTCTTTTCTGTGGTTAGCAAGTTCCACAGTGATGTTCTGGTTTCCTTCCCCCAGAAGCCAGTGTAATTGCTCTAATGCATTAAGCACAAATGTTTCCTCTCAGATTATTTCCAGTCACTCTTGGGATATTCAATGCTGTTCCTCTTGTGTTTCCAAGACCGTTCTGCCTTTCTTTACAGAGTTGACGAGTAGTGTGTCAAATTCTTATTTTGAATCGAAACCAAATATTTCCATATCTGTTAGGAGGGCCATAATTTTTGTCTAATTAAGGTAGAAATTTATGAAGGAAACTATCAAAAGACCCAGATTTTTCTCCCCTGAAATGAGCAGAGTATTAAGGATTTGAAGGGATTTAGAGTTTATGACTTATTCACCAGGAGCCAAGGTGAGAAAACCAAGACCCAAATATAACATGGTCACAAATCTGTCAGTAGACAGAGCACAAGCTAGAACCCTGACACCCTGACTTTTGGGCCAGTTTAAAAAAAAAAAAGATCTGACTTGGTTTTCACAGTGACTTTTCTTCCTTTGTTTTTAGTAAATCCCACTGATATGGCTTATTGTCCCCAGGATTTCCAGGATAAGGCAGTACAAGGCAGGCTAAAAAATAGTGTTATCTACTACGCCAGTGAAGAATGAGATACATTCAATTGCATGGGTACATTCTTTGCCCATCTTCTGATGCTGAAGTGATGAGGCAAGGTCACCATTTGTTTTCTGGGTAGAAGCTACTCCAATGTTTGTTATGGGGAAGTGAGATAGGTGGGGAAGGTGAGTGAGGGTTCATGTACGTGATGTGTGGGCGCTTTCTGTTGAATATCCCTTAGGGCAATTCTTTAACAGGGACAGAGAGCGTCAGTGGCTGGACCAGTCTTTGTTTAGAGATAGTCAAGCCACAGACTCAGAGGGGGAAAGGAGACTAGGAAACATTTTTGTGAGCAGAGCAAAGAGCTTGAGGATTCAAGACTAGAAGGAGCATCCTCATACCATCAGTCCATGAAGAGTGCTTTCAGATCACTGTGCTTCCTTCAACTTGGAATGTAACTGCACTAGTCTCTCCTCAGAAGTCCTCCACAAGACTCCAGTTTCAGCTCATTAGCTCTCTTTGATTAGAATATGTAATCCATAGAGAGATCTGTTGTTAGCACAGCAAAGATGCAATCAGGATTAATAACTTTAGGAGTTTGAGAAAGGATGGATTAGATGTCATTGAAAAAGGACAACTGTAAATAGGCCTAATTTCTATGGAAATGTTCTCTGAGCCTTAACTGTGAAGAAGCTTTCCTATTATGAGGTAATAACATGTGAATTTTTGGAAACTCTTGAGTTACTGACAAAAACTTCTAATTTCTTTGAGCTCGCTGAAGGACATGATTTTCCATGTTGCTCTCGATCTGTCAAGTACCTGCATGGCTTTGAGTCATGCCTTGAATAACTTGAATTAAATCAAAAGATTATAAAAATTCCAGTGAAAGAACCGCTGATTTGGGGGAACAAATATTTCTATACATTCCACGTTAGGCTTCCAGGAGAGAATGAAGAGTGCTGAAGACAGCATGCTCTAGAATAAACAGAACTTGTCCAGACCTTTCCTTAGAAAGCTGGAAGCCATGTCTAACCAAAGGTGGTCTGTGTCCTGCCGACTTGAGCCCTGCAAAAGTCCGAATTGGATCAAGATGAACACATGATCTTAGTTTTAAGGCTTCTTTAGTCTTCTGCTGTGCCATTTTACTTGCTTGAGTCTCTGACCAGGGACAGATGGGAGCTGGTGGTGGCTTGGTGCTGGTGAATTAATGATGGTCCCCACCCCACCTCCATAGCTGTAAAAACATCAAAGCATTCACATCAAAGGACTGGAGAACAAAATGCAATAGTTGCAAGTACCCGCATTCAAGGGGCAATTTCATCCATGTCTATGCCAAGGACTAGCTCCCTTTACCATCCCTCCCAACACAAAGAAACAGAGGAACAAACAAAAAAAGATCTAGGCAATGGAATGAAATGACACCCAGTAGTGCTGTAGGAATTATGAGAAGGAAGTCAGCCAGTCTAGTCCTCAAACACTTCCAAGAACAACGGGGGGAAGAGTTCCGTGGGGCATTCCACCTTCATGTGCAGGAAGCGGCTGGCATGGCAGGCTCCGATCATCCGCAGGTCTGTCACCTTCATCAGGAGTTTTGGCCAAAAGTGTGTCACGTGGTGTTTTCGGTAATTGATATAGTGTTCAAAGGCCAGCAGGAAACTATCTTGGTATTTTTCTATCCTCTCCACGCAGGCGAGTCCTGGGCGATCTGAGGGGGTGAAGGAAGATGGATGTTAATTCAGAGGGTGTAAAAGAGAGGGACCACCTTGCCTGACTCAAGCCCTTTCATGTGAGAGGGGGCAGATCTGAGGACCTTCCAACTCCTAGGAGCGAGCATGGGTGCCACATGAACTCTGGGGCATTGGGCACCAAAATACCAGGACGTGGAATAATTGTTATGAAGGGGACCAATGCTTTGTGCGGCAAATCATCTCTGGTTTAGACAGTCCCTTCCATGGGTGTGGATGGCAATACCTTCCGCGCATGGTCTAGAAGGAGAACCCTCACTTAGAGAGCTGACAGACAAAGCATACCATGGGAACAGTTTTGGGTTGCCAGAAGAATTCTCCACAGGATCCTTTAATTTTTTTTTTAAAAATATATTTTATTGATTTTATACAGAGAGGAAGGGAGAGAGATAGAGAGTTAGAAACATCGATGAGAGAGAGTCATCGACCAGCTGCCTCTTGCACACCCTCCACTGGGGACATGCCCACAACCAAGGTACAGAATCGAACCCGGGACCCTTCAGTCCCCAAGCCGACGCTCCATCCATTGAGCCAAACTGGTCCTGGCAGGATCCTTTAATTTTTGATCCAAATAGAAACTCAACACAATATTGCTCTCATGTGTTCCTTTAAAGGGATAACCTGGGTTTTGTGGGATCAAATGCTGTCTCTTGATGAGACATAAAGATAAGGTGGTCATATAAATGATGGAGAAAAAGATGAAAGGACATTTGGATGACGCTCAAGTTGTACTAAACCTGTTTATGAAAAGATAAACATTTTTAAAGGTCAAAGACTATTTTTAACTGTCTGAGACAAAATTTCTCACAGATATGTCCTGGCCAGAGTGGCTCAGTTGGTTGAGCATCATCCTATATATTAAAAGGTTGCTGGTTCAACTCCCTGTCTGGGCACATGCCTGGGTTGTGGGTTCAATCTCTCTCACATTGATGTCTCTCTCCCCCCCCCCTCTTTCCTCTCTCTGAGCATGCCCATGGGTAAGGATTTTTTTAAAAGGGAGGTTAGCTAGTGTTAGGTGACAGACCAGCATCAAAGTGAATCTCTCTTTCTGCCACATTTAGGAGCTATAAGAAATAACTTCCTCACTATGATTCCGCATTAGTTCAACCTGACCTTGTATCACAGAAACCTCAGCTAAAAGATTTCCTTGAAACCCCCCCTCCCTCCAGGAATATAATTCCACTTATATAGTTCAATTTCTTTATTTTTAAAGGATACTGAAGCCCAGAGAAGCTGGGGTTCCCTCAAGACCACATAGGGAGTTCTCAGAAAAGCTATGTTTTATTTCTTTATTTCTTTTTTTTTTAAAAATATTTTATTGATTTTTTCACAGAGAGGAAGGGAGAGAGCTAGAGAGCTAGAAACGTCGATGAGAGAGAAACATCGACCAGCTGCCTCTTGCACACCCCCTACCGGGGATGTGCCCACAACCAACGTACATGGCCCCGACTGGAATAGAACCTGGGACCTTTCAGTACGCAGACCGATGCTCTACCACTAAGCCAAACCAGTTTCGGCTATGTTTTATTTCTACTGAAGGACTGAGGGCCCCAGCGAGCTATAATTCTGGAGTTGAAGAGGGATTAAAAACTCATCAGGTGATGTGAATCAGCACCCACACTCTCTTGACACCCAGGAAAGTGCCTCGGTACACTCACCTGAAGACATCAGCAGGACCGCTTGAAGGAGGGCTACTTCCGTGTCATCCAGGTTGAAAGAAGACAGCGACATGCCCAGGTCAAAGATGGCATCTGACACCACTCCAAGACCCCCATTTTTCAGCTGGCCCCGTGTCACTGCCATCTCCCCGTTCAGGGTTAGAGTCTCACTTTCTGGGTCATAGCGCACAGCAGCGCGAAGGGACATGATCTCCATGCAGCAGCCTTTGAGGAGGATTATCTGGTCTTCACATGGCAGCTGAAAAGAACCAGCCCGCATCAGCAAAGAACAGGTGGACAAAGGTTAGTCAAGAGCAACAGGCAGTATCATAATAGCTTCTTGTGCTGGACACTCGTCCTAAACTCCTTGAACACGCGGACTTGGTGGCTTTCCCCTTCCTACTTGGCTCCAGACTTTCAACAATCAAGTTGGTCATAGTCTTCACTGACTTTAATCTCAGGGGTTTGCATTTCTTTGGCGAAAGATACAGATCTCCAACTGGTATTAAGCAGTTGAGTGAAACTGCTTTTATCTCCTTACTCTGGAGTTTGTATCATATTATAACCCAACTAACTGCTTGAGAGCTGTGCTTATGTTAAATTTGCCAACACTTTTGACTTATAGCTCCAGGAATTAACAGATGACATTATGTTTAACTGGCAACTGTGGTTCTGTTTTTTTTGAAGCAAGCTTGTTCCTTGAATCTTTCAAAAGCACTGGACTAGACAGTCCCTTACAGATGACTAGTACCCATAAGGCACAGAGATGTAAAAGGTCCGAGGTCACCCAGGGAGTTAGGGGCAGAGGTGAGACCAGCATTCAGACTTCTGGCTCCTAGGGTTATATTCTCAGTGCTTATGGCACCAGAATTGCTCCACATGTATCTTTTCATCAACGTGGTGATATCTTTTCTAGCTAATTTGGTTGCTTTATGAATGAAGATTTGTGACAACATAATAACATTAATAACAAACTTTACAAAATAATTTTTCTAAGAAAAATAATTAAAAAAAACACACCAGAGTTGTATTTTCTGAATAGGGAGAACATTTAATTAAATATACTTATCACAATAGTTTGAAAGACTATTAATTACTGTAGTTTTTTTTGTTTTTGATGAATTGGATGTCATACCAAGATTATGTGCATCCCCTTATTGAATTTTCACAGCAGTGCACTGAGCTACATATTCTGCTTCCAATTTTATCTATAGATGTGGAAATCCAGGCATTGAGAGGTTGAGGAATATGCGAGGGATGGTCGCAGGAGAGTTTTATGAGTGAGGCTAAGATTTGAAGCTCTAATGGTCGGAGTCCAATGCCAAGAGAAGAGAGCACACTCTTTGAAGTACTCTGGATGGGTCTGGGTTTCCATAAACAAGGGAAATGTAAATTACACATAATCTCTATCTCTTCATTAAGCAAGTACAAATTCTTTTTGGGAAACAGTCTTGGTAACACCCAAAGTTCAATTTATTATATAAAACTAAAGGTAATACTACTAAATTACATTTAAAACACTGGGTATTTCATTTTTTTTTTACTAACTCAACCTAGTTACTTTACCATATAATTTCAAATTTCTTAGCTTTTACTGCAGAATGAGAGTATATATATTATGTGTGTGTAAATATATATATAATACATATACAATAAAAATAATATATACTAGTATAATACACATTATATACTCTCTCTCTCTCTCTCTCTCTCTCTCTCTATATATATATATATATATATATATATATATATATATATATGTTTGTTTATTTGAAAAAGTCTAAAATAGGCTCCAAAATTTCAGCAGTCTATCTCTTGGTGGTATTACCATGAACCTTTGCCTTTATCATGCTGTATAAATCTCCAATGAATATGTATTATTTTTGTAATATTCTCTAAATTTTAATAAGTGTTTATGTAAAAAAAGACCATCAGAGGCATGAACGCTCCATACCAAATATGGATATAAGTCAGATTCCTTCTCCAGGACTCACCGCCCCCACCTCAGTGCAGTTGGGATAAGAGGGCGGCACACTCTCTCTCAGCTGGGTCTGGGGGTCAAACACCTGTATCCTGGAGCCCATTGCCCTGTTTTTCGGGGTATGGCTTCTGTGGAGGCTCAGAACTTGTCAATGAGAAGTGTCTCCATCATGTCTGAGATCTGTCAGACTCGAGCTGGGCTTCCATTATTACAAACTCAAGAACACAAATGGGCTGGAAGTCAAGGTGGGGCAGAGTCATTCCCTGTGAGGAAACTCAGCTTCTTTCTAGGTGAAACTAGATTCACGTATTACTCAGTGGCTTGGGTGAGAGGCTCACAGCACTATGTGGTCCTCTCTACCTGGAATTCTTCTGAGTCCCCTTGGAGATGTGAAGAGCAATGGATTGGCACCTGATGGGGTTTATCAAAGGAAAAATTTTTCAGAAAACACAACCCCACTTGATTCAAAAAAGAAGGTAGAGGCAAGATGGTAATGTAATGAATTAAATAATAATAGTATTAATAGTTAAAATTATGGAATACTTATGATCCGGCACTCTCAAACACCAACTATCCCATATCAACCTCTCAACATGCCTAAGAGGTAGATCCTATTTTGAGTCTCATTAAATATGAGATGACCAGTCCTAACTGATTTGGCTTAGTGGATAGAGTGTCGGCCTGCGGACTGAAGGGTCTCAGGTTCAATTCCAGTAAAGGGCACATGCCTGGGATTGTGGGATCTACCCCCAGTAAGGGGTATGCAAGAGGCAGGCAATCAATGATTTTCTCTCATCATTGATGTTTCTATCTCCCTCTCCCTTCCTTTCTGAAATCAATAAAAATACATATTAAAAAAAAGATGAGATGATCAAGGTTTGAAGACATTTAATAACTCATCAAGGATTCTTACCCATAAGGCTGACTGCAGAACCTATGCTCTCAGCTACCACAGGGCAGAACTGCTAATGTTAGGGATGAGTGTCCCACAGGGCAAGTCTGACATTTGGTAGGTGAGCTTCTCAAGGTGCCCTGAAGATGGGCCAAGAAAGGGTTATATGGAAAGAGGGAGTACTTAAGGAGATCTTAAAATCTTTGCTCTGTAAGGGTCCTCCTTTATTCTTGAGGATTAAAAGGCAACCACACAGTCATCTTGCTGGGGTATATAAAAAGAATATAGACTAAGACTCAAACCATTGCCCCACATATAGATAAGTTAATCACTTCGACCTCAAAGTTCCCCATCTGTGAAATGGGGTTAATTATACCACCCTCAGATCTGTTACAATAATTGTATTTAATGTAGGCAAACTTGAGCATGGTAACTAGGACGTCATAGATACTGAATAAATGCAAGAATTGCTATTATCTTTTTAAAAAAAATATATTTTTTATTGATTTTACACAGAGAGGAATTGAAAGGGATAGAGAGTTAGAAACGTCAATGAGAGAGAAACATTGACCAGCTGCCTCTTGCCCACCCCTGACTGGGGATGTGCCCACAACCAATGTACATGCCCTTGACCGGAATCGAACCTGGGACCTTTCAGTCTGCAGGCCAACGCTCTATCCACTGAGCCAAACCGGTTTCGGCAAGAATTGCTATTATCTTTTCCTATACCTGGAGTCAAGTGGATGAATAGATCTTCGTTGACCTCACATGGAGAAGCTAATGAATGCTGACTGAAAGGGTGGGAAAGTATAAACGAAAGAATGCATTTTCCTTTTGAATTGACATTACTTTCATAGGACTAGCCCTATTAGGTAATATTAAATTATAAATAATACTCAGTATTCCTGGAAATTGATGGATCTATGATGAAAAAAATGCAGAAGAAAAGCAATTATTTCCTCACCTCACAAAACATAGGCAACTTTTTGGCAAAATCCACCACTCTGGTAATTGCTGGTGTGATGATTTTTGTAAAATGGCTGAAGGCTTCCAAGTCAACCTTTCCACCTTCTGGGGCATTTACTATCGGTGCCTGTCCAATATCTTCTGGCTAAGGAGGAGAGATAAAGAGTTAAATGATGAAGTCGAAGGACCTGTATTTATCCTACTTCTGATGAAGAAGAAAAATCTCTTCTGGACAGCCAATCTGTACAGTTTGCAGTTTGCACCCAGTTTATTAACAAAGAGTAGAGTTGTCCATGTATGTCTATTAGCCATTGCTACAATAGGCCTCGGTGATACTGTTCACAAATTGGTGCCTGTGTGTGTGTGTGTGTGTGTGTGTGTGTGTGTGTGAGAGAGAGAGAGAGAGAGAGAGAGCAAATTGGTGCCTGTGTGTGTGTGTGTGTGTGTGTGTGTGTGTGTGAGAGAGAGAGAGAGAGAGAGAGAGAGAGAGAGAGAGAGAGAGAGAGAGAGAGAGAAGAGAAAGAGAAAGAGAAAGGGAGAGAGAAGAGGAATTTGGGCTCTACCTCTGAAAGCACAAAGGGTGTATACTCACACCAGGTGACATACATTCTGGGGCATTCTCAGAGTGCTGCACATTCTGATGAGTGTCTTTGTGTGCGAGGCGGGCTCAGCATGGGCAGTAAGAGAGTGGGGGTGCGGGAGCCCCAGCAGATAGCACCTGTGGATTTACTCTTGTTTCCCACCCAGCTGGTGCTCAGCATCCTGTCTGCTTATAGACTCCAGTTGGAGGAGGTCACAGCAGGCTGAGAAGGTGTCCTAGACTGCCTATAGGAACTGAGCCATGCAAACTTGGCACACCCTCAGGCAGAGTGGGGATTTTACTAGTTTTCAATGTCCTGAGGGCACTTATCTGCTATTCACTTGCCTAAGAACAATCCACAGTCTTGTGCTCAAAGGGAGGTGTAGCAGCATGGGTGTCACTGGGGGACTTTTTAGAAATACAGAATCTTAGCTCTCTCCTCAGACTCAATTGTGCAGTATCAACATTGTAGCAAGCCCCCAGGTGGTTGTGCTCCCAATGCCCACTGGAGCTGTCTAGCTCCCTAGCCTGGCATTCGGTGACTGCCATGGTGTTGCCTCCAAGCATCTCCTGTTGTCATCACTGCTTCTTGCGTGGGTGATAGAAGCCTTCCTGAGTTGATAGCACTTGTATTTTGATCTGTCTACACAGACCACACATAGCCAAGTCATTCATCCTGTCTGAGCCATTTGCTCATGTTCCTTTTTCAAGGCTACCCCATTCAAGTATGTGAGAAATCGGACAGTAGCTCTGCCAGGGGAAAAGCAGGCAGGCAGGTTCTGGTTCCGATGGTCACATTTTATTTTGGGTGAAAAATCCATTCAAAAGCCATCCCTTTGGGAACTAAGGGGTCAGAATAATAACACATGTCAACACACAATACTAATGCCAATAGACAACAATGTTGTTGGTATGGAGGGTTCACTCCAAACCAAATGTCTCACTGCCCCTGGGAGGGTAAAAGTGAGTTACTCTTGGTGGGGAGACTCTGCTTTCCCTTGACTGGCACCAAAGACGTCTTGCTTCTCTCTCAGTCCACATGGACTCCTCACCATCACTGTCGTCGCTTGCAAATTGTTGGTGATTAAATTGAGCATTTGAGTGGATGGAGAAAACTAGAAAATTATATGATGGAAGTGTTTTTGGAAACAGTTGTACAGTGTGGCTTTAGAATTAGGAAAATCTGCATAGCTTTTGCAAAAGTGCTTATTTGCCAATGACTCTTATTTCTCAGCACAAATAAGAGTTTGAAACCCAGGTGAAATCACCAGTCTCTCTATTTCTGACTTGAGTCCTGGTCTTAGGACAAAAAACGATGAAGAAATTCTTTTGAGGGAGTAAGTTACTTACCCATTCCAGATAAATGAATACTTCTAGCTTTTTTGCCAATATATTTTAATCCCTTTTGATACATTACTATCCTATTATTAGCATAATAGGCTTCCTCAAACTCTATTTCAGAGCAAAATGAGCCATTATCACATGAAAATAAATGAAATAACATGCACAGCAGTGTTGCAAGAAAAAAAAAAGTGGTCTTACTAAATAGGAGACACAAATCCTAATGCGTAGAAGCCTATTCAGGACATGAATGCCATTTAGCAAAGCTGACTTTGATGAAGGATTCCTAATGTCCTTGTAGGAGTAATTCACCAACTTAAAGAGTGAAAATTTCATCCTGAGCATAAGTACTCAATCGAGGTCATTCTTCTGCAAGGAATACTTGTAAATATGTATTTGTAAACTGGCTGAGACATGGCTTAACTGTACTGTCTCTGAGGATATGGGCTGGTGGAGCTGTATATTCTGTTTAATAAATATGTATTGAGTTCTGTTCTGGTTAGCCATCGCTGCTTAACAAACTACCCCAAGACGTAGTGGCTTAAAAACAACACATTTTTACTCTCTCATAGAGTTCTGGGGATTGATAGTCTCAGTTGCATACTTGTTTCTCACTTGGTGTCTCTCAGACAATTGTCATCATATGATACCAGAAGCTGGTGTCATCTGAAGGTTTCTTTACTCACATTTCTGGTGCCAGATTGAGAACCTCTTCATATGGCTAGCTTGTGTTTCCTTATAGCATGGCAATTCTCAGGGTAGGTGGACTTATTTTTACATGGCATTTAGCTTCCCTCAGAGAGACAAGGGATCTTCCCCCTCCAAGATAATCAGATGGAAACTACAAGGCTTCTTATGACAGACTGAGTGGTTACTCTTCCCAAATCCATTGTTTGAAGGAATCACAGACCAGATTCAAGGGGAGAGAAAAATAGACTCTACCTCTCCATGGGAGATTGGGCTGTGTGTACAAGGAGGAAAGAATCTAATGGCAGCCAACTTGGTGAAGAGCTACCCAAATGGAACATGGTTGGTCCCCCAAGATGCAGGAGTGATCCCAGGCACAGAAAGAGATTGGCTGATAGAAATGAAGTTCACGGTAGAGATAGATGGGACAGTGGAAGCATTCTGATCTCTCCCAGCACCCCTCTAAGGAAAAAATGGCTTAAAGAAGTGTTTATTTGTATTTGGATCAAGAGGGGGAAATTGGTAGATCAAGCAGCTACACATTATATACATTTCATGTCAGCTCTTAGAATCATGTTTGCTAACATTGTTGGTGGAAGTCGTCAACAAAGTGAATTATGGGTAAGATTCCACTCTCCCCAAATTTCCTACATACAAACACACACACCAATCCTGTTATAATGGTGATGTTGAGGTAGGAGGACAGTTATACCATTATACTTTCTTGTTCGGGTGGAAAGGTACTCTCGTGTGCCCTGGAGATAAAAAATAAACTCATCGAATGTCTGATGCAGGGCTCAGCGAGATACTCATAAGCCAAGAGCAGGAGTCAGTCTCTGCAATAGTGAAACACCAGCTGGTGGTGGGATGGGCAGTCCATCTGGTGAGGTGGTGGAGGGCCAGGACTTGGAAGCAGAAGACCTGAGTTGGCTTGGGCCTGGCTCAGCCACTTTCTAGTAACGTGATAACGGGGTGAGCCACTTTTATAAAAACATCAAACAATGATACTCTAAGGGTCTTGAAAGTCCTGTTTTCTCTACAAGCTCCCTCTTTACCCTCATCCCTACTTCCTCTTCACATTTTTCTTCCTGGTCTTGAGAGAATTTAAGCTAAACATTTTGATTTCTACTGACATAAAAATGCATTTGAGATAAGGAATACTTTGGAGTGAGTTTAGTGGATTAAGTATGTATATAAATGGGCATCTGAGGGAAGAAATGAGCATAAAAGGGAAAGCTGGCAGGCAATGATTTTACTAATTAATTCACGACTAGAAGCAAAAGCAAACAGATAATGTGGCCTTAGGAAATGCTCTGGAATCTAGGGACCCACAAACAGTAGCACTAGGAGGGACTCTTGCTCTCAGAGAGACCTGGATTCCATTCCTGGCTCTGCAATCACCTGACTTCTAAGCACTGCAGAGTCTTTCTTAGTAAGATGGGCTGGTCACCTCACCCCCCAGGGCTGTGAGGACTAAGTGAGATGAGGCAGAAAGTGCCAACACGCAACCTCTATTCAGCTGTGCTGGGAGCCTCACCAGGAATTTCCGCTTCTGCTTCCAGTGGCTGCCTTGGGCGTTGGTGGCCACGTGGGCTTCGGTGACGGTTTTGATGAGCTCCCACTCCTCGTCAGTGGGCTCTGGCTTGTGCCCGATGGATTTCTGTAGCTCCTCCCGCCGTCTCTTCTCCCGATTCTCCTCAATCAGCTTCCGCTTTGCCAGCCGCTTGCTATCATCCAGTACCACTGGGAGAAGGAGAGAGGGAGTGAAACACACAGATACTCCTAGGCATGTGGCAGACTGCATGTCCCAGGACCAATGGTGTGCAGACGGCTCGGTGGGGCCCAAAGAGTGGGTCACACTGGGGCATTTTCTCCCTGGGCAGCACACTGCCATTGACTAGCCAAATATAAGCCCAGGCACAAACTCCCAGGGCCTGCCTAGCCAGCTTTTCCAAACAAAGCTGTTGAACATTGGGCATCCCAATCATGCAGAAGGTGGCCCTAAATAAGAGTGAAGCAGGGAGAGGACAAACCTATCCTACCCACAGGTTCCCAGATGAGTCTGTCTAGCCAATCTGAAGTCACAAGCAAATAAGGTGCACTCAGAATGGAGTCCCACCTAGTCTAGGTTAACACTGAGTTTTTTATTTTATTTTATTTTATTTTATTTTATAAAATAAATCTTTATTGTTCATATTATTACAAATTTTCCTCCCCCCCCCTCCATTGCTCCCTTCCACCAGGTTCTCACCCCACCCACTGCCCTTTCCCCACCCCCCATTGTCCTCATCCATAGGTGCACAGTTTATGTTCAGTCTCTTCCCATTTCCCCCTCTCCCCTTTTCCCTGAGAATCGTCAGTTCACTCCTCTTCCATACCTCTGATTCTATTAACACTGAGGTTTTTTTTTTTAAAACCTCATTAACATTCGTATCTTTAAGTTCTCAATAGAACAATAAAATGGATACTTCATAATAACAGTTCGTATTAGTGACACATCTAAGTATTTGGTTCAAGGTCAGTCATTTTCATATACCTTTGTCAGGCATATTGTTGACAACGGATAAAAGCCTTTAAAAGATAAAGACAATACGTTCAGCAGGAGGTGGGATTAACCCTGGATTTGCAGCCTAACACCCTAACACAACCCTCCTCCTTTTAAAAATTTCCCCCTGCTGTCTTCTTTAATGGGCAAACCAGAACATTCCACAGATATTTTTGTTGTAGCTGAAAGAACCCTGTTAGTCACATAAACATAAGCCATGATGATTTCTTCTTTCAAGGGGAAAAAAAAAAAAAATCCTTGAAGCATTCCTTTTTTCTTTCTTTCCTTTATTTTTTCTCTTTCCTTCCTTTTTTTTTTAAACACTAAAGGTTGGAATCCTTCATTGTTGAGCAAAAAGTTTATGCCAGGAGAGATCATTAACCTTGATGCCTGGCAAAAGAGAAGCCACACGTTCAGAATGGCAGTCCTTATTTTATTATTAGAGTAATTAAAGCCGCTGGTGTAAATCCCCTCCTCAGTGCAGGGGGGGGGGGGAAGAGACCCAAATGGCGGCTAATCTCACCACCATATGCCGTGGCACTTTGAAAACTGGGTAGGAAGACTTCAGCTCGGAATGTTTTTAAGGCTAAAAATATAACCACCAACCAACAGCAGGGTGACTCCTGCAATAGCACTCAGTTTCGCATTCTTCAGAAATTTCTGATCACGATGTTTTCTGCCAGTGCCTTGTTTCTGAAAATGGCCACAAAATTAAATTCCTGTCTCTGCTTTTGAAAAAGAGTAGGAGTCATCCATGTGGTTCTACCCACATGAATGTTGTGTGTAAAATTAGACCTTAGCAAAGGTGAATGGACAAGACCTCTCATTTATAATCTTCATTGCGGACAGAGTATTGCAAACAGTCTTGCAAGCATGAAGGTATAATTTAATCGCTTTCCCTCACCCATGGAGACCTGGAGAGTTAGGAGCTGATGAATGAGAGGTTGGGTGGAAAGCACCCAGCAATGACTGCGGGAATGCTGGGTATCTCTCCTCTGTCCACATGGGTTCCTGCTCGTTTTTCTGTTTGGCTGATCTCCTTGAGCCAAACCTTTCCCCAGTCAACACCCCTTGAATATAAAGCAAAGGAAGAAGAGTACTTACAATCTGTTGCCATGCCAACGTAGATGCATTTTTTAAAGCGACATTCCTGGCACTGGTTTCGTGTAACTTTGTCTATGACACATTTTCCTTCATATTTACAGGAATAGGATGGATGGAGATTTTTCTGAATGGTTCTTCTAAAGAAACCCTACATGAAAAAGAAAGACAAGATAACAGTTTCATGTTTTCTAGAAATACATGACTAGAGAATCTCATGTCCACAGAGTTGTGATGGATTGTTTTGGGCCTATAGCTCTATTTATTCACATATAGGACAGTTGGATCAAAGTGAATCTAAAGAATTCTAAATTTGAACTGAAGAAGATGTCACAGGACTACAGAGTTAATATTTTTTTTGACATTTATTCAAGGAAAAGAGGCTAATGGAAAAAAAAATCTAGTGGTTGCTTTTATCTTTCTAAACATTGAGTAATAATATAAATAAATTATGTGATTTCATTTCATAGAGTGTCATCATTATGCTGCTAAATAAGCTATGAGGAGATTTGCTGTACTTTTTAATAGAGAATAAAAGAGCTGGAAACTTACTTGCAATACTTTGGTGTCATAATTTAATCATTTAGTAATTAAATGAATGTAACTGCCTTTAGAGATTTAGTTTAGTTCTTGTTTTTAACTTTTGAGATAGCCATGATCAGCTCAGATGGTCCTTGAAAAACAGTACATGGGGAGTCTGGCCAGAGTAGCTCAGTGGTTGAGCGTCAACCTATGAACCAGGAGGTCACAGTTCGATTCCCGGTCAGGGCACATGCCTGGGTTGCGGGCTCGATTCCCAGTATGGGTGTGCAGAAGTCAGCCATCCAATGATTTTCTTTCATCATTGATGCTTTTATCTCTCTCACCCTCTCCCTTCCTTTCTGAAATCAATAAAAATATATGTAAAAAAAAACCAGTACATGTGGAGTAGAAAATTTAGGTTTTCTGTCACATTTTCCCCACAGCTCATTGCATTAGGGTTTTCCCTTTCATCATACTCTTTTTCTTAAAAAAAAATTTTTTTTTCCCCAATTGATTTCAGAGAAGAAAGAAGAGGGGAGGGGGAGAGAGAGAGAGAAACATCAATGATGATAGAGAATCATTGATCCTGCATGCCCCCTACTGGGTACTGAGCCCGAAACCTGGGCATATGCCCTAACCAGGAATTGAACCAATACCTCTTGGTTCATAGGTCGATGCTCAACCACTGAGCCACACTACTTTTTTCCAGTATCCACAGACATTCTCCCTAAGTTCAATGTGTTTTTTCCTTTTTTAAGGCTCGGGAGAATTCCACTCTGAAATTTTCTGAGGATACCATTTAGTTCCAGGCTTAGGTGGCTTATGTAACACTCTGAAGGGTGTGTTCTTCCAGAACCTTTCTGGACATGATACTTTAGTCTTAGCAAATATACTTAAATATTGTAGGAACTGATAATGGCACAGAGCACTTATTGTGTGCGGCTCATTGCAAAGTGCTGTACACATGTCTTCTATCTCGTCTACAACTTATGAAGTAGGGACTCAGTGTCTCCATTGTGGGGTTTGGAAAATGAAGCCTCAGACAAGTTGAGTCACTTGTCCAAAGTCACATGGGAACCACATGCTGGCTTTTGGCAGGACTCAGGAATTAGACTCCAAATCAGCAGCAAACAGCCTGTGGCAGAGCGAACCCTGTCTCCTCGAAACACTGGCAATAAAACAGGAGGAGAAATGATAACTACTTGGGATGATAACATGTCATATCTATGCATTTTAAAACTCAAAGGGAGAACTTGGTTTATTTCTTTTTATTATCTCCCTTTCTAAAAAAATAGACATCACACTCTCCCAAACATTCATTTAATTATTTTTGATTTGGAAAAAAACAACTTAGTTCTTGAACATGCCAAAAAAAATAGAGAACTACCAGACACCAGGAGGATCACAGGCCAGGAATGCTGGAAACTGGGTCTAATTTGAACTGAAACATAAGGTTGCATTCTGGTGGGAGGGGCCTGGAGCTGGACAGGGCTATTGAGGGCCCTGGGCAATTACCTTGCAGCCTTCACACGTAATGCAGCGGTAGTGATAGCCCGTGGCCTTGTCACCGCACACCACACATAGCTCGTCCTTGTCTAAGTAACTGGGTATGTACCCTGGGAAGGAGAAAAAAAGAAGGATGTGAGAAAATAATATTGTGTTCAAGTCAAAGACATACTACAGCCAGGAGGAGGATAAGGAGAAAAGAGGAAGTAACATAGATGAGAGAGGAGGCAAGATAGTTATTTTATACATTTTAATACAATTTTTGCTTTAGGATGTATATCTCCTGATCATTGAGATTTTAGTATAAAAGGTAAAGTCTTTCCCTGACAATATACTTCTCCAGTATCTTAACCTTATCTGGCATCTTCTCTCACACTTACAGAGGCCCAGGGTTTCAGAATGCCTTGGAAATGAGTGTGCTCACACTTGCTGTACAAGTGGGAACAGACCCAAAGATTGTGCAGCCAGGCTCTGAGACACTGAGTGCTCTGGATTCTGGACAACACATTCTTTTTGTTTATTTTAGACCTTGTTCCTAGAGGGCTTGATTCACTTTGAAATCACGGCACCATGCAAATAAATTGAGAACACTTTATAGCTGGAAAGGTCCTGGGAGATCATCAAGTTCTTTTGAGGTAAACAGGCCTTCAGAAGTTTGGGTTTTCTTAGGGTCACCCTAGAAATTAACAATAGATTCAGGCTCATTCAAGATCTAGTGATCTGGGGAGATGCATGCTCACAAATTGGCTAGACTTGATGCTGTGTGTGTGTGTGTGTGTGTGTGTGTGTGTGTGTGTGTTTTAACTCTGATCACAAGGTTTAATACAGTGAGACATGACTAAGGAGAGATTAAGGGCACAACTGTTTCCCCACATGAAAATCAGTATGTCCTGTCCAGTCTGATTAAGATACCATCACCAGAAGTGAAAATTTGATGTTTGAATTTTACGCAACTTGTTCAACTTTCTACTTTGGGATATAGAGACCACTGTTCATGCCAATCAAAAGAGTCTTTGCTTGCTGGTTATCATTCCCCTTTGCATAACTGTAAACCCCCCACCCCCAAGGTTGTATATCACTATCTGCTAGGTAATGGATGGTCCGGTCACTCAGATTTAATAAGAAATATTAACAAAATCTACAGGAAAACTCATTAGGCATTGATTCATTCCAAACACAGTTTTGGGGCATCCACTCATACAAAAAAATGATAGGTAAATTTATGTTTTGCTAATTTGTGTTTTCCAGTTTTTCTATAATAAAGTGTTTTACCTGTGTAGTTTTTATTTAAAAAACCTGGACTTGGTAATGAACTAATACACAAATACACCCGTTGTTTTTGATTATCATAAAGACTGACCACTAAAGTCCATTGAAAAATGCTAGTTAAGTCCAGAGCATCCTGACCATGTTCACTATTACCCATTCCGCCTCCCCCTCCCCCCGCGCCAATTCTAGTTTGATCACTAACTAGTTCTCTGGACACACACCCCATAAGGAAGTTAAATCATCAGCATGTTTATTTATTATTACAATTTAAATTGAATCTCCTCAGTTCATCCCATAGCACAGATCCTCCTGAGTTAAGCTTTTTCCCACTGGTACTTCCTTTCCTACGTCATTTCTTTATATACTTCAAAAGTCTTGAATGGTTCATTCTTTAGTCTTTTCCAACATATGAATTATGATTCCTTTTACATTTGATTATTAGTATCAGGCAGCAAAATTTTCATCATGTTAACCTTTAACCCTCTGGTAAACAATACATCCATCCACCCATCTGTCCACCTGTCCATCCATCCATTTGTCCCTTTATTTAACAAACATGTATGGGCTTCTTGTGTAAGACACTGGGTACAAACTTGAAATAGCATTAACTTAAAAGGTATTCTTTCTTTGAGTCCACAAATTTCAGTTGAGGTGCCCTGGAGACCCCACTTCACAAAATCTTTCCTCAGAACAGCAACTATCTTTCTTTTTTTTAAAAAAAAATCTTTATTGTTCAGATTATTACACTTGTTCCTCTTTTCTTCCTCCCATAGGTCCCCCCCTACCCCATACCCTTACCTCCGCCACTGTCCTCATCCATAGTTGTACAATTTTTGTCCAGTCCCTTCCTTCATTCCCACACTTCTTCCCCCCCTCCCCCTGAGAATCTAGTCTACCCCTTTCTATGCCCCTGATTCTATTATATTCGCCAGATTATTCTGTTCATCAGATTTTTTTATTCACTTGGTTTTTAGATTCACTTGTTGATAGATATTGTATTTGTTGTTCATAATTTTTATCTTTATCTTTTTATTCTTCTTCTTCTTCTTCTTAAAGAATACCTTTCAGCATTTCATATGATACTGGTTTGGTGGTGATGAACTCCTTTTGCTTTTTCTTATCTGTGAAGCTCTTTATCTGACCTTCAATTCTGAATGATATCTTTGCTGGGTAATCTTGGTTGTAGATTCTTGCTATTCATCACTTTCAATATTTCTTGCCACTCTTATCTGGCTTACATAGTTTCTGTTGAGAAATCAGCTGACAGTCGTATGGGTGCTCTCTTGTAGATAACTATTTTTCTCTTACTGCTTTTAATACTCTCTTCTTCTGGCACCCCCATAATTCAGATGTTGGTACACTTGAAGTGTCCTAGAGGCTCTTTACCCTATCTTCATATTTTTGGATTTTTTCTTTTTTCTTTTCCGGTTTGATGTTTTTTGCTTCTTTGTATTTTAAATCTTTGACTTGATTCTTGCGATCCTCTATTCTGCTGTTGGATCTCTGTATTTTTTTTATTTAAGTCAGTGTATGCTTAATTTCTAGTTGGTCCATTTTCATATCCTCAAAGGTCTCACTAAATTTATTGGCTTTTTCTAGAAAATTCTTGAAAAACCTTACAACCATGGTTTTGAATTCTGTATCCTGTAGTTTGCTTTCCTCCATTTCTTTCATTTGTGACCGCCTGCTGCCAGACAGTCCAGTTTCTCTCCATATGAGTCTGGGTCCCCAGAGTCTCACTGGAAACTGGAGTTCAGAGAAGTTGGGAGCTTGTGTCTCCCTCCGTGTTGAAAAAGACAACCGCGTATTCAGTTACCAGCCCTTTCTGTGCACGTGCCTCCGTACCTTTGCACTTTACTTCTGCAGTTCCTCTGAGTCTCAGTGTGCTTTTCTCTTCTCTTCTAGTTGTAGAATTTCCACTTAGCCAGCTTTCCTGTGGTTCTGGATGATGTCTGTTTTGTCTTTTAGTTGTAGTTTTGAAGTGGTTGTGCAAGGTAACAAGTTCAGGTGTTTACTCATGCTGCCATCTTGGTTTCTCCTAGCAACTGCCTTTCTGTCCTCAGGACTGCCATAGTGGGATCTTTAGCACCTTTGCTTTACACCTTGTCCCCTAGCTGGCTGGGTCCTTGCTGCTTTGGGACAATAGACACATTTATGTTTATTCTTGCATTATGTCTTTTTATAAGTAAAGAAATATTTCACAGAACTTTTATCTTTGTCAAGAGTGGGAAGACAAACGTAACTCAAGAAAAAAATGAAAGAGAATATATTTCTTTCTGGAAGTGAAAAATATTCTTATAAAATAAACAGTGTGTCTGTGGGTTGAAAAGTTCTAATTAAGAAAACTGAAGTCCAAGTTTTCAAACTCTAGGACACTTCAGGGTAGAGAAGGGAAAGGAGGACTTGGTAATAGGTGAGAGGAGGGCAAAGGGGAGAGGACACAATGACCAGGGACTCTAGATTTCCACCATTTAAAACTCTTAGAGCAGAAGAAGGAGCAAAGCAAGTTTTAGATTCTTTCTCCTGATTCAAGACCAATAGGCCGACATTTTGGATGCACCAGCATTAATTGCTCACTACTCAAAACAGCACAAGCAATAACTTTACTGCAGTAGGTAGGCCTAGCACACCTGAAAGGATTTAGGCCAGGAAGACTGGTTTCAGTTATTTTTTATTGAAAGAAATTTTGACTTTTGAGATGACCAACATTTATAAACATTCACATTCTCAATGTTTTTCCTGAACAGAAAGCATTAAGCTCTTGTAGATAATTTTTTTACACAAACACTTACTTGGTGTTTACCATGGGCCAGAAATGTACTGAATGCTTTACAAATATGACTTCATTTAATCCTCACAGCATCCTTATGAGTTAGCTCTATTATTACCCACATTTTATAGATGAGAAACTGTAGCATAGAGAAATTAAGAGATTTGCCTGAGATAACATAGTAAGTGGTGGAGCTAGGGTTCAAACCTAGATAGTAGTCTCAGAGTCCATGCTCTTAACCACTCTGCCTCCCACATGATCTTTCTTCACAGCACTTACTGTAGACATAATCTGATAGTTCTCTGTGCTATCATTTAATGTGTGAGTATACTTAATTAAAGGCTATTCCTCACTCAACCATAATCTCCACAGAAGCAGGGGTTCTGTCTAGTTTTTTTTGCTGCTGTATAGCTAGCATGTACTCATTTTATGACCAATAAATATTTGTCGAATAAATAAGTCTTTTTTTTTTTTTAATAAAAAAAGACTTTCTGAAACAAAAATGTATTAATTTTTAGGGCCAGGGTTGAGTATACTACAGTTTCATGCACAAGAAGGACCTTCCTTCTTCCTATCCCTATAGACTCAAATTCTTAGCAGCTGACACAACCTTTCAATCCATAATTAGATCTAAACCACTTGATGCAAACCAGCAGGAAAGGGAATAGATGGATATAATGAGCTTCAGTCAAAATCTTAATCACAAGGGTAACACACCTTGGCAGTCTACAGTGTTTGGCTTGCAGTGTGTTTAAAAATTTCAGCCAATTTTTAAAACCAGGAGCTTTCACATAAAACCCAGCTTTTTGCTTCTTGTGAAAAAATGGGGAGATCTGACACTCCTGAGTCCACCTTTTCACAGGGCAGCAACAACTCTCTCTCCTAAGAGAGAGTCATACTTGCTAGTTACCCGCAGTCAGCACCAGTCCCTATTGTGCCCCAACTCTGAGGCGAAAAGTCAGTTGTCATTTACGTTTATTCTTGCATCATGTCTTTTAACAAGTAAATAAATATTTCACAGAACCTTTATCTTTGTCAAAAGTGAGAAAACAAATGTAATTCAAGAAAAAT